ATCAAAATTCTAAATTCATTTCCTTTGCTACCCTACCTGTTTTTTACTTAAAGCAACGAAAAAAAAACTCCGAAATAATTCATTTTCAGACTGTTGTGCATGACAAATAAAAACGATTTTTTTTTGAATTGTGCATATTAACCGGATTTTGATGGTACATGAATATTTGTGGTAATCCTATCATCTGATGTTAATAATAATAATTGGACTTGATCTGTGTGTTTTTAAAAAGGGTATTTTTTGCAAGATTTCGACAATTTTAGAAAGCAGCACTACCAAAGATTATTTTTTTTTTTTGAAAATGTACACCGATTTCTTTGAAATTTTTTTTGAAAAAATGCATTGTCGTGTGCCTTGAATTGTCTTTGTCTTTTCTTTCTTTGCTGGAATTTTTCTCATTTCATCTTATTGCTAAATATCTTTTTTTCAAAAATCTTTAATGTCCCATGAAACCGAATTATTATCAGACTCACAAAAACCGATATTTCCCGTCGCTTGTAGACAAATCAGCCCGGGGAAAAATGGGCATCCGTATTTTTGCAAATCATTTCTCTCTCTAGAAAAGACGCGTCATTTTGTTCGCGTCACTGATATGGAACATTAATGTTTTTGTAAAAATCCGATATTGTATTATCGTTTCTTTCTTTTTCAAAATGTAATTAAAAATTTAATTTTTCTCAAAAATACAAAAAAAAACACCAAAAAACCCAAAAAAATCCGAAATGTGCAAAAAACTTTTCAGATTTTTTATTCTAATTTTAACAAAACCAAAGTCCGAAAAATACTAAAAAAACAGGCAAGACCCCTCAAAAACACAAAAAAATTTTCAAAATCCTTAAAAACCATACAAAAATTTTTCCAGAATTCTTAATTTTATAAAAAAATGTTCAAAATTCCCAAAAACAGCTCTTCATAATTCCCAGGCTTATTAAAAAAAATTTTTAGAAGAAAAAATTATCCAAAATTTGTAAAATCACAAAAAAATTTTCAAAACCTAAATTTACAAAAAAAATCTCCAAAATCCTGAAAATTATAAAAAAAATTCTTGGAAGTTTTTTTTTTCGAATTAAATATGACCCATATATTGTATAATCTCTGAATATCGCACTCATACTAGTAAAATCTGCGCTCACTTACTCGAAATTTTGCAGAAGATCATTCCTTCTGTTTTTTCGGACGCAAAAAAGTAAATAAACCGTGTCTTTTGGCTGATTTGTCTGATTTTAAAATTCAGAATTTGTGTGTGCTTGTCGATTTGCAATTATCTAACAAATTTTGTCATTTTATGCTTATATGTCTTGATGATGTGTATCACTTGTCTCATTTAAGCCTATGTATTTTTTCAGTAATCGTAATAAACTTTTTTTTTTTTTCAAATTGTGCGTGTATCAGATGAAACAGACGTGAAAAAATAACTCGATGCGCTATCTTAGGCACCGTTGAGCCCCGATATTACTGGGTTGCTCCTCATACGCTAGGCACAGCTATGCCAGATCTTTCTATTCTGAACTGCATTTTTTATTAATTTCTTTGACATTTTCGACACGTACGCCGCATCTCTTCGGCAGCCGCCCGGGTGATCGTTTACACTCTCACGGGTACCGCTTGCTGGTATATTTCCATCTTGAAACATCCAAGCGAGCAGCATTCCCATCACTGTCCCAGTAGTATCCCTCACTGACCTCATTCTGACGAAACAGCAAATGCTTGGTAACCAGAAAAACAATTAAGTCTTGGCCTGCTTTTTATTGGGAATGTGATTCTTTGACTTGTTTTTTGTCACTGAAATTTCGTTTTCTAAGATTTTGTTCTCTCCAGTATTGACTCGTAATTCTGATCTGTTTTTTATGCG